TGTGTCTAACCGAATTCCATTATTAGCTAACTATGGTTGATACTGTATGCGCATTGTCACTTATTGTATATCTCTTGTCATTCTAGTTATGTATTCATTGTTCTAGTGTAATACTCACTCCAGAGTGGTGCACTCACAAAAAAAAAATATCTACAGATATATATATATATACCATATATATATATATATCTGTGTGTGTGTTTAATTATGCCTTTTATATTCTCTTGCACTAATATAATCGTATGTTAATTTGCTTATTTCAGGGGGAATGGGAGAGCATTGAGGCTAAATTGGAAAAACGGTTTTACTGTACTATTTTAGAAGCGATTTTTTGTTTTTATCTGTGTTTTAGTAGGGAATGCTATGGGAATACACACTAAGAAGGGATTTGTCGAAATTTCCCGCAGGGGAGAGAGGGAGAGAATTAAGGATTAACGGGAAGAATGGCTTCTACTGTACTATTTTAGATGCGATTTTTGTTTTCAACTACGTTTAGTCTTTATTGAGTACTTAGGTGTATTAAATTGATAACATTTCAGACATTGTTGTAAGTATTTTTATCTGTTTCGATTGTTAGAATGTTTGAACCGTTTTAAATTCGAATTTGTTATTGCATATTGGTTCCAGAAAATTGATCAAATTGAAAACAGTTCGTTTGATTCTCAGAAATTCTCATCGTTCTCAGCGGTAGGTGTTATATAACAATTACTATGGTTGTTGAAATACTGAATATAAATAGGGTTTGCTTGTAAAATCCCCGCTGGCGAAGTTGCGGGTAACAGCTAGTGAAGAATAACTCAAATGTTCACATTGTGTTATACATTCATTCAAACAACAAAGCCTGCAAATGAATTGTACAATTTCGTTTCGAAAAGTTTCGTAAAGTTTTTTATTTTCTTTCTAAACCGACCTGCTATAAAAAATGTAAGTAATTATTTATAAATAATTTCTGATATAATTTTTTCGATAGTTTATTTATCTATGAGATATTTGATCCCTAGATACCACTTATAATCTATTGCATGTGGATTGGGTGATTGAAATGCACAGACTTTAAAAACAGTCACAGTTATTAATGTTGAAAATTACTTGACCTGATTGTAAAGTATTTTTTTCAGCTTTAGGGATTGAAGTTTGGAAGTTAAATGCCTGGTATCTTTTCTCACATTTTGGTAGAATCTTGTCATTGCAATTAGATTTTTGCATGATTTAATATTGTGTTTTATAATAATTAAAACCGAAAAATATAATTTAAAAGTACAATTTTTGCGTTCTTTTTACAATTAATGAAAGATTGTGTTAACTTCTTCAAAGATAATTCAGTCGCATATAAATGTTTAATTCTTCCAATATCGCATGAGCTGTTAGTCTTTAAATTTGAATACAAAAATTCCTTAATTTAAATTTCTAAACTGTGAATCACTGTCAAATTTTGATGCTCGTAACTTGTTTTAAATAAAGTAATTTATTTTTGAGTTAGTATTTTAAAAATATACTTGATGATCTTAGCAGTATTTTCACTTTCCCGGCTATTATATATGACAGAAAAAAAGTATGACCATCAGTCATAAAATAAGCTTCCAAGATTACTCGGTTTTTCTTTTACTTGTGATCTTGTAACGGCCAGAAATACAAAAAATTCGTTTTTTATGTATGCACGGCGTTTATGTTTGCGTATGTATAAGTATGTGTGTAGAAAGCACGATTTTTTCACCCTTTTTAAAGCTTAATAACGGCCGTGTCTTCTGTCAAAATTTTCTAGTATTTTGTAGGATAGTTCACGTACAAGGGCTATAAAATTTTAGTGGTGAAAACTTCAATGGGTGAAGAGATAAAGGTGTCATGTCATATCTCGTTTAGGGTCTGACTTGATGACGATTTTACTCATTATTAGCATTTACAATTTTTTTTTTTTTTTAAACCCGTCCCTATTCTCTGAATTAAGCTCTCTGCCGTTTAAGAATAGTTTAAAAATATAAAAAGATATTTTAATAAAATATTATAATAGATGGTGTCACCAAATCTTCCCGGAAAAGTTAAGCAACTCGTTGCTGAATTCTTTAGAATATTTATTATTGAACGTAAATGCATTTGTTTTTTCAGAAACACTGAAAAAATGTCATTGAACAATTATGCTAATTTTAATTAAAAAAAAAATAGCAAAATTTAAAATGTCATTGTTTGGGAAAATAATTAGCAAAGTAAACAATTTGATCGTTATTATTGTAATGAATTACGATAAACTATATGTGTTGATAAACATCGTTCATTGCGTTGTACGGCAAGTTGAGTACCATCGTAAAAATTTCAAAATTATTAAGACCAGAAAATTATGGTAAACAACATTAATAATTAAATTATTTTTTCAGTTGGGTTTTCCCAATAATAAACGAGGGAAGAAAACTAGTTTTAAAGGAAGAAGATTTATACAAATGTTCAAAATATCATACTTCGGAGTATCTTGGCGATCTGCTACAGAAGTAAGTTAGTTATTATTTAGATGTGGACATCGATATTTTAGTTACTGCTACTTGATTATTTTAGATTTAATTATTATTTGGTTAAGTCTAATCAAATTAAATAGAACAAGCGAAGGTTGTTATATATATATATATATTAGTCATTATTAGTTGTGTACTAAATATATGTAACATAGCACTTAACAATATAAAAAATTTATTGCAAAATTAAAATTTATAATATTTATTTGATTTACAGTAAAAATTTTACTGGACTCAAAACTGCAGAATTATTTACATTTTCTAGATTCCATTCAAAATGTTTACTTGAAATTATTTTATAGAAGTAATCTACAAAACATATTATTTTTTTTTCATACGTAGAAGGTGAATGATTAATTACATTCATTGTATTTAGTGCTCTGAAATACATAAACTAGGTGAATTAGTCGATCTGTCCGGTAAAGTACTTTATAAGTTATAACGCTGCTACAATGTTAAACGCGTAAGAAGATTTTAAATAAAAATTTTTGAAAAGATATGAAAAAAAATCCTTAAGATTTTAACTTTCCAATGTCAAGAATGTGTTCTGTGAAGTTTTGAGTTGAACATAGCACCCAAAGTGTCTGAATGAAAAAATGCTGACGATTTACAGGTGCCACGTGGTTACACTCGTAACTAAATTTGAAATCTTGGCTTTTGTTCCCAGCAAAAAAATTTCATTTCTGCATACATTCATGTGTCGATACATAAAGCAGCTGTGTTAAAAACACTGGAATGAATTAAACTAAAAACTGATGTAAAAATGCGTTGCACATTAATTCATAGTAATGATTATAAAAACATTGCAGTAAACATCTCAATTACTTTTGTACATTTAAGTGAAATATGTTTTTTGTGTGAGAAATGTGAATAATTTTCAATTTTAATACAGAATTACAGTTATTTTATGGTGAGAATGAATGAATTATATATAAGTAAAAACCGGTAGAAGACATAAACATTTAAATCGTATATAAAATTAGTAGCAAAATCAATTAGCCTGGGACAAAACTGGCCTGGTTTGGAGCAATTTAAATCGATTCATTTTGACATTTTCTCGTTACTTTCCCTGTTGTGAGATATAGCGGAGATACAAGATAGCGATGGCTCAAAAAGGTGAACCACCCCAAGATTATTATTTTTTAACACAGGACACTTTGAAACGTCGAGAAAAAAATTCGGAGGTAATTTCAGTATGTCTAGATGTTAGTGTTTGTGTGTGACACTATTTTGTTCATCCTGTTTGAAGCTTAATAACTCCTTCGCTTTCTGTTGAAAATTTATGAACTTTCGCAGGGAGGTTTATTTATTAGGAAAATTTATGCAATTAAATTTTGATGATTAAAAGTTGGGGAATAAGAAAATAAAGGAGGCAATGTTATATCTGCAGTAGAGTGGAACTGAGTGTAATAACGATTTTACTCGTTATTAACATTTAATTATTTATAAAACCCGTCTTTACCCTCCAAATTAATCTCTTTGCATTTTTATAATAATTAAATAATATAAAAAGTTTTTAAATTAAAATATCGTAACGGACGACGCCATCAAATGTTGCCGAAAAAGTTAAGCAACTAGTTTATAAATTTTTCGCCGAGTGTATCAATGGCTGTGACGGGTACTTTTTGAATCTATCCAATTAATATTAACTTTAACACTTTATCATCTTTTAAGAGCAATTTAAACAAGTTACGTGAAGTCTTTCGGGCGTTACGGTAAATAACTTGGAACAAGAGCGGATCATCTCAACCTGTCTAACAAGCACTACTTTTCAAATAATAATTGTAAAACTATGATAATTAGTTGTCGTTGACTATCCTCTCTCCTGGGAAGAGGTCAACGACTACATTAGGTCAAATTAACTTTAACTTCCTTTTGAAGCAGCCCATTTCTTCTGTGCAACAGTGGTACTGTTCCATTCGAATAGAAAAATTACAAAAGAAAAAGGTACCGACAAGCACAAATTAAGTTTTATCAGGATTTCGATGGGCCAAGTTTAAATATTTGGTCATTTTTTTAGCGAACTATGATTGACTTGGAGATTACCATTTGATATTCGGGTGTGAATGGTATAGTACGTTGAAGTTGATACATTAGAAAAAAATTAACATAACATATTGTAATTTTATTTGTTAAGTATCTTAAATATGTCATTAGTAGAATAAATAACTGAACTGATTATGTTATTTTCGTTTTAATCTTCGTTGTCTTTATTTTTTACCCTGGCAAAGACGTCTTAGCCTCAAGTAAATTGATAAATGTGCACACGCACACATTAATCAACACATTTTGTCTTCTGAACTACTTATGCAACAAACAAAATTATAACAAATTTAGCAAAATTTGTATTATTGCAATTTGCAGATAAGCAAACTACAGTCGACCTCTCTAAAACACGAGTTCCTATAGTTCGGGTTCCTATATCACGGCGAAAAAATTGCGACAGTATTCGTACAAACATGCAAAAAAACCTCCTATAATTCGATAAAACGTCATCGCCGACTCGTGTCGCGACAGGATTACACAAACCTTTGAGTTTAAACGAGCAACGGACCTACCAAAACACATTATTTAACGTCCATAAAAATGATATTTATATTAATGATATCTCTAAACATCAGCGAATTTTTCGCAAAAAAAAATAATTTATCAGGAAGCACGCGAGCGCCATTCGATGACAATCTCCACGACGAAAACAAGCTTAAGCAATGGCGTAGTCGAACGGTGCACGCTCCATAAGTAATCCTACAATTTTTTGTTTATAGTATAGTTTATATGGATTATTACCAAAAAATTATACGTATTTTGGAAATGTTGAGTCGAATTAGTCTAGAATCGATTAATTTTATGGAAGAAACCTTTCAAACAGCCGTAGTCCGTAAACTGCATACGTGCCGGGCTGTGGTTGGCTGGATTCATTAAAACATGAACGTATCTACCGTGTTATACGGGGGGTCGACTGTAATCATAAAATCTTTCCTCAAATTCAATAGTAAGTATTTAGAACGAATTTTTTATATCAATTAAAATGCTGTGAAATTTACATTTACTTTACATATTAAAAGATATGAATTAGAGGACTGTTAATTATAAATTTAAACGTTTTTAAGTCTAGTACACGTTTGTTAGTCTGTTGCGAATTACACAGGGAAGTATAGGTTTAGAAAACGCGGAAATTTTGTAAACTTTAGTAAATAATACAAAATTTAATAAGTTAATCGCCATCTGTTTTTTGCGGACATTACTGTGCATTTTGTTTCAACACATGCTGCTGCAAATTAATGATCTGTTTATGCATGATATTTACTCACGTATCAGTCTTAGAATGTTACATAGTTAAAATGTTACATAGAAATGTTACATAGTTATACTGTATCAATATTTTATTCCCCTTCTGTATTGCAGTAATGCATATAAATTCTCTTTCCATTTCTGTTTAGAATGTGGCTCCGGATTTTTTGCGCAGCACTGTCTAAATACATTCCGATTAGCAGAATATTAGCATTCCATTTAGAATTAGATATTCACGTAATAATAGTTAGATATAATAATAATAGTTGTTTTAAAAGCATTACATTGATTCATAGTTGTGCAAAAGTTCTAGAATAACCTGTTGATTGAAATATTTTATTCAATTTTTAGGTTTCATTGCAATTTCTTTTCAGAGAATGGAACCAGGAATTGCAGAAGAAGAATTCGAGCATACTGAAAGCTTTATTACGTTTCGTTGGTTGGAAATACTTAGTAGTTATTCTACTTGTACTCATTCAGGTATTACGACAACCGAATTGAAAGACATAAAGAATGTTCTAAAATTATTGAAATAACTGATATTTATGTTCGTCCGCAGATGACAGCGTTAGTTGCAGGCCAAGCATACTTCGTAGGATTAATAATAAATTATTTTGAGAACAGAGAGGAAATGAATCAATACAAGATCTATGCTACACTTGCGGGATTTTTTATTCTACTTGCGATATATTTATGTATATATAATATTAGTGCATTTATAACTGAATTATATGGAATGAAGTTAAAGATAGCTTTCTGCACTCTTATATATAGAAAGGTGAGTAGCAATTAGATTTATATTCTTTTTACGTTAGTGTATTTTTATTAAATGTATCGAAGGAATTAAAGACAAATTCAAACTATTTGTAAAAAAATTTTTCAGCAATCGATATTTGTGTAATTTTATTTTTTATAAAGTAATTTGAACTATAT